GGAAGTCCGTTCCCAAACTTCCATTTTGCCCGTATGGCCGGTTTTTTGCACTCCAGAGGCTTCAGGGAAGCTCATGAAGCCTCCGGGGGGGGGGGGGGGCCCTTTTCGCCCTCCCCGGCTTTTAGAAAGGCTCTGGAGCCTGGGGAGGATGAAAAATGGCTTTAAAAAAGGGTGAACTCAGCTGGCCAGAGCGCGTATGCACACTAGCTAGCTGACAGGGCAGCGCCTCGCGTGCCCTGACAAATGGCTCCGTGTGCCACTCCTGGCACGCGTGCCATTGGTTCGCCATCACTGTCCTGTAAATGTAATGTTACACAGATCTGTAAATGTAGAATTTAAAGATAAGCCGAATTTTAGGCATGAAAGTTTGCAAAACACTTCATTTTGCATTCACATAAATTAGAGTGTAATTATTACACTTAAGAGCACTTTTAGCAGTAGATCTTTTAATACTATTCAAAAATGAGAATAAATATTTCATAGAAATCAGTGTACTGAAATAATTAATTTGGATTTAAGCAAAGATAAATAAATTGCTGTATTTAAAAAGCCAGCGACTACTAACAATACTTACTCAAAGCCAGAGCTTGAGGAAGGTTTTCAGTCTGCTGAAACCTATCCTTAATATTTTCAAGTGCACTAAATTTAAATTTGCATGGCTAAGATATGTAGATGCTGTATCCTGTTCCTATTTATTTTCTCCAAGAGGTGGCTTTGATGCTTTGATGACAGCTAATCGCCTTGCTTTGAACCTTTTAGATTGAATTGTATTTAATTTCCTGTCAACTTCTGTATTTAGATGTCCCAGTAGCAAGGTTGCCTAGGAAATAACCAAAATAACCAAAGACAGCCAACTCATCATATTTGTTGTCATTTCCTCATCAATTTGTTATCTGAGTTTAGGATTGAAAAAGCATCCTAAACATATCTAAAACCCTCTGAAAATCTATAACTGCTCATACTAGTGAGCAAATCTAATCCATATATATTCATAGATATTAAGGGGCCATTTGCTGCAATCTGATGTGTTCGTGTGACATTTTTGTTTGTAGTTTTCTTCTGACCCATGCAGGTCTACCCTCAAATCTAATTCCACCCCTTGGGACTATAGATTTGAGTTCTGCTATAGCAGAAGACCACCAAGCATGGTGGTCCTTCAGGCAATATATTGTAGAGTCTTCTACATCTCTTTAAAAAAACATAACAGCTGAAGAAAGTGCAAATAAAAATGGTGCGAGAAACATGCTTTATACAAGCAGAGCCTCATAAAATTCAATCTTATATCCGCTAATCCGGCTAGCCCTGCTAAGCTTCTAAGTCTAGATTTAAAAACAAAAAACAACCATCTTATTTGTCTTAGTTGGATTATTAGTACTTGGATGGGAATCCAGAGGGCAGTGTTTCTCGACTTAGACACTTTAAGATGCCTAGACTTAACTTCCCTGGCTGGGGAATTCTTCCCTTGTTGAAATCCAGCTACTTTAAAGTTACTAAAGCTGTAAGCTAAGTTGGGAAATAAACAAACAAAACAAAACAAACCAGGATGGTTTGTTTTTGGAAGTTGTTGGAGGCTCATCACTGGAGGCTTTCAAGAAGAGATTGGACTGCCATCTGTCAGAAATGACATAGGGTCTTCTGCTTGGGGGGTGGGTGGGACTGGATGAACTACAAGGTCCCTTCCAACTCAATCTGTTGAATTCATCTTGAAAGAGGCTTAGCTTGGCCTCACATGTTCGGTATGAACTGACAGTGATTTCCAATGACATCAGGTAGAGGTTTTCCCACCTCAATTTGCAAATGATGGAATCTGATACTTTCCCCATATAAGGCATATTCTTTGCCACTGAAATGCAAGGCCCCTATTCTCCTGTCAAATAGGGATTCCTTCTATTTGTGGGGATGCCTGAATGTCTTTTCAGATTAACAAATTAGATCCTATGAGCATGAAGTTGTCCCACATTCCCTCCCATATCACTTTGGTCTCTTGAAAATATTTCTTAGCCGATGTTTACATTTTTAGAAAAGGAAACACTGCTCAGCCCTTGTTGATTTTGTCCACCCGAATATTTGTACACAACATATTAAAGACTCACTTGTTTCACTGCCACACATGACAATTCTGTGTGAAGCTTGCCTTTGGTAAAGCGTAACTTTCCAAAATGTTTTTATGAGACATATTGCACTGGTTCTCAGACAGCAAAAGTCAAAAAGACCAGGGGACTCATTTCTCTAATTTCAGTGCAAATTTCAGTGGGTATTCATTCCTCTACACTAAGCCGTGGATTGGTTTGACTAACTTCCACAAATTGATAAGTCACAAACCATGGTTTACAAACCCCAATGCCTGTTTCAGACATGAAAAGGTCATCCATGCAAGATATATTAAATATGACTTGGTTATAAGTGAGTCCCATTAGTCTTTTTAAAACAGTCTTTACAATATGAAGAATAGACCCAAGAATTGGATGTATGAGGATTCTAAAACTCTGAGAAGTTCTCATAAATAAAAATCTCAGTCCCATAGGCTGCTTTGGCTTTTGAAAAACAATCTCAAAGTCAGACTAGTTATTTATGGATGTAGAAGGCCACGCATCCACGGAGAACTGCATCTTAGAACTGAGCAAATCAACATAACTTTCCATACCCAGAAAAGCTTTTCTAAACAATATCCATGGCTTGTGTTTTCTCCCTTTTGTCTTTTTAGATATTCACTACATTGTCGGTGACAAAGCGCTCTGGTGAAAATGTTGTTCAGTCTGGATGCTGAGGTTAAAGTCACCCGCTGTTTTGCCATTGCCAAAGACTGACTTTCATCACTGTTGCAACCTTCAGAAGTCCGCGGCTGGGATGTAAGAACCATTAAGACCTGCTTTCCTTCATCTTCAGCCGGCAGAGGAGCAGATGAAAAACCCTGAAAGCTGCAAATTAATGGTGATGATTGCACGGCAAGTGGTGTGACAGCGGGATAGGCCCATGATCAAGATGCTGCTGGCAAAGCATTAGCAAGATGCTTCCATGAAGTCGTAGCCTAAAACCAGTTTCTCTGGTAGGCAATGATGGAAGAATTGCCAGCACAGCTTGAAACTCTTTCTCTCATTGGAATAAAGAGACTTAGCTTCACTTTCATGATTTTTTTATAGATCCTCCAACAATATAAAACTATCTGGACTTCTACAGAAACAAATGATCAGGTTCTGAACAAATAAATGTGTTCCTAAGATTAAACAGCAGATCATTGTGCCCTCTCAAATTCTGTAAAATTGAAAGGGATACCATGTCACTGTTATTCCTGTTTAGAAACTGTGCTGTATCTCTGATGCTAATTACACTGAGTCATTTCGACAGGAAAAATCCCCCCCCCTCCATCATCAAAGTGAACCATGTCTGAATTATTTATATAAAAGACTATATAGAAAAAGATCTATAAATGTGTTCCTGAAAGCTTTTCTGGTTCATAATGTTCCTTCGTGCCTTCTGAAGTACTTTCTCTCTCTCAATGTGCTGGATATTAATGTATTCTGTTTAAATCTACAACATCCCATTTCCACACACATCACTCCTGTTCAATTGTGACTGAAGAAAAATGGGCAGTCTGTAGCCAGATTATTTCTGTAAGTAATCAGTTACTCTATTGCAGGATTCTCTAATCAGTTAGTTTATTGCAGGACTCTCCCAAGTCCCTGAAAGGAGTTTTAGAGAAAGAATGGTATTTGTCACTTCTGATTTAGTCCTGTTTCCTTGGTACCTCCCAAGGGTTTTGTAAAAGAAATATTCCTTCCCCCTTCAATCTGGCAGGTGCAAAAGATCAAATCCACACATAAAGGTCCAATTAAACTGATTTATTGTTAAACAGCCCATGCACAGGAATCTTCTTAACTAATGGTTAGTATCTGCTTCAAGTTAGATAAGGGTCCACCGAATTCAAGACTGGAGGGAAAGTTGAATTTAGCTGCTTGTGGCTACATATGGATTTTAGGCTGATTCCTCTTTTAACTTCACTCCCAGGTTCTGCCACTCCTCCTATATAATCCCAACATAAATTAAAACTTTGAATAAATGATTTAAGGGCACTGTGACTTATGTTCTGAGAATGATATGTGCCTTCCTCAGCAAAGTAGTGCGGGACATAGTTGCAATGGTTTTCTCTATGTCCTGCTTCATACATTACATTAGATCCTGGTTTGCTTAGCCAGCTGCAATCAGCTGGGTTCAATCCACTGCTACAGTATAAGCTGTCTGATATAGTAACTGATTATTCAATCTGTTGAAACAAATCATTATTTCATAGCATGATTCATGATTTCAAAACATGAAATAATCTTTGTTATTGCAGGTCACGTGATGCTAGTTATGTGATGCTAGTTTGTTTCCATTATCAGCTGGATTGAACTCTAAATGATCTTTCTTGGATTGGCTGTTGGTTTAGGAGTCAAAATGTTGGCTCAAAATTTATTCAATGTATATATACAGAATATATAGTATATTATTATTTTATATAAATTAAATAGATACTGTAGATAGATGATTGATTGATTGATAGATAGATAGATAGATATAATACAAAATTATATGTAATATAATATAATAAATATAAAATAATATATATATATATATATAAAAATATAATATAGCATGTACTGTTTATTGAGAGTCCAGTGTGTGCCCAGAAAGTAATCTATATAGAGAGCCATAGAAGACCTTGATTACAGCACAGTTGAGTCCTAATCTTGTCTTGCTGTTAAAACTCCATTCTTAATTCCCCGCCAGAAAACTGCTAATGGTTTTAAATATAGTTTTAGGAAGTGGAGATTAGATTTACTTCCACCTTCTGTTGGTACTAATTTGATCAAGGATGTAGCAGGTCTGTGTAGCATCAGGCAGACATGCTGAAATATAGAATATTATAGCAACTGTTGGTGTTACAAATTAGCTATTGGCATTACCAAATCACAAATGTTCACTTCCTGCTGCTGAAGTGTGGATAGCAGCAAGAAAACTGGATTAGATATCTAGACTAATTGATACAATTACTTCAGAGCAAGTTTCATTTAACAAAGGTTCTTCATAGATGTTTTCAGTAAAAGCTCCAAATCGTGATCACGTGACGATGGGGAGGCTTCACTTTTTTCAGTAACGTGTAAAAGTCGCTAAATGAATTGTTGTAAATCAAGGATTACTTATATAGCAAAAAAAAAAAAGACAATAATTCGCAGTTGTTTTTCAAAGTTCATGAATCTTCACCATGCATGGCTGATGGAGTTCAAAAGTAAATCCCTCGTTCTTTGAAGTGTGCTTTTTGTGGATAAAACTTCTTATGTCATTGCAGAGCATCAGATATTTCAGGATATTTTTGCAGAGCTTGGCTGACCTAAGTGCTGGTTGCTTCACAACCTCTCTGGTGTGGGACTTGCATTGTTGAATGCGTTTATGAGAATAGCTGAAGAACAGTTTCATGTAACATTCCAGCCAAAGACAATAATGACTAAGTGGAGTAAATGAAAAATGGAAACCACAGTCATGCCATCCCAGAAGTGTTTTTTCAAGAGGCAACTGGACTTTCTGGTTTTCCTTTGAAGATGTTTTGCTGAAGAAGCTTCTTGGATGAGAAGTGAAATGTCTTTCAGAAAGTCCAGTTGCATCTTGAAAAAGCACCTTTGGGACAACCGTGACCTGGATGACTGACAATCTCCATAGACACAATCAGGCAAGATAAAAAAATCACAATTGGAAGGGAAAACCTTTAGTTTTAGATTTATAGAGAAATTTTGAAAAAAAATATTGAAAGAAAGCAGTGCTAGTTTTGTTCCTAGCAGCATTACTTTTGTTGCTAGGAGGACAATATGAAAGTTCTTCAATGGAACAATTTGCCTCTAGAAGTTGTGAATGCTCCAACACTGGACATTTTTAAGAAGATGTTAGATATCCATTTGTCTGAAGTAGTGTAGGGGTTCCTGCCTAGCAGGGGGTTGGACTAGAAAACATTCAAGGTCCCTTTCCAATTCTGTTATTCTATGATTGTAAGTAGACACAGAAGTGAAATGTCTTCCAGTTGCATCTTGAAAAAGCACCTTTGGGACAACCGTGACCTGGATGACTGACAATCTCCATAGATACAATCAGGCAAGATTAAAAAAATCACCTAATAGCTAGAGGGTCACACCCTGAAATTCCGGAGCTTTATATGGCTTCTGGGAGCCTTGAATGTGATCCCTTGAATTCTTACTACAGTAACATTGCTACTGAATCCTATTTTTAGATGTGCCAGGAGAATATTTTTTTAAAAAAAGAAAGGAATAATAAATAGAATTTCTATTTTTCTTCTATTTTTTGGAGTATAGTCTTGCCTTCCCCTCAAAAGTCAAGTACAATCCTCAACATGGAATAGTTCATACAGTATATCCATTTCAGTGTTTCCTGCACTTTACACAGTGTTGCATAATCATTTAGTTCCCTCATAAGAACCTGGTGAGGCTCTCCAGAGGCTATCAAACTACATCTCCTAGCAAGCAATCCTGATGTCAGCCTCTGTTTTGGTTACTTGCTTACAGCTGCTTTGCTACACTTGCTTACTATCAGCCATAGGAAGGGGTGGGGGGAAGCATGGTATTGGGGAAGGGAAAAATATTGTACTGGAGGAGTTTTGTTCTCACCATCTTCTGCGCATGCTAGTGGCTGATGTTTGGACTTGGTCAAGGACAACCGTCTCACATACCAACTTGATGAGGCTGTTTGAAGATGCACCCCACATGACAACTTAGGGAGTTGCAGATTGGACACTGGGTTGGGGAATTGGGGGGAGAGTGTTGGGTAAACGTTTGATGTGTATATGTTCCCCGCCTTTCTGGCTCAGATCTTGCTTTCCTTCTAGCTGCTTTCACTTCATATCTAGTAAAAGTACTTTATCTCTATTAACATGGAGTTGAGGTTTTTCTTTCTTGGATATTGAAGAAGGCATGCCTTATACCTAATCAAGGATGTGGGATCCAGAGGTTGTGATTACTTACATACAGGTAGTCCTCAACCTACAACCACAATTGGGACCAGAATTTCCATTGCTGAGCAAGATGGTTGCTAAGTGAGTTGCAACTGATTTTACCTTTATTGCCACAGTTGTTAAGCAAATGATTGCATTAAGCAAATCATGCAGTCATTAAATGAATCCAGCTTCCCCCATTGACTTTGCTTATTGGAAGGTGGATGGGCAGATCACAAAAAGTGATCACACCTGACTCCAGGATACTATAAATTTGTAAATGCATGCTAGTTGCCTAGCTCCCAAATTCTAATCATGTGATGGTGGACATGCTGCAATGGTTTGAGGACCAGTTGTGCGACACTTTTTTTCACCTGTGTTATAACTTTGAACAGTCACTAAACTAATTGTTATAATTCATGGACTATCAGTTAGAAAGTCACAGCAGAGACAAGATTAGAACAACCATTTTTGATTTGAAGCTGAGTCTATAATAGACTGTAATAGAACATGGACTGTAATAGAACAAGGAAAGCTTAATGTTTGGATTATTACTGTACTCAGAATGCCAAAGTAAAGATGGTCTTCTCCAACAAGCCTAAAACAGTTAATCAGAATAGCAATAGCACTTAGACTTATATATTGCTTCATAGTGCTTTTACAGCCCTCTCTAAGCAGTTTATAGAGTCAGCATTCCCCCCCCCCCCAACAATCTGGGTCCTCATTTTACCGTCCTTAGAAGGATGGAAGGCTTGAGCTGGTGAGATTTGAACTGCCGAACTGCAGCTAGCAGTCAGCTGAAGTAGCCTGCAGTACTGCACTCTAAGCATTTTGCCACCTCAGCTTGCTCAAGAACAGCAACTATCAAACCAAAGACTTAAGGCAAAGTACCTTTACATATTTGGAAATGCTTTCCATTGAATTTTTTCCCATCTAGGCTGAATTGTAGTCTATGAAAGTTATCAAGACTGTTTGGCAAGCCTTGCTGATTGTGAATGAAAGGAATTCACAGTCATGTAAATAAAAGAGGTTTTGCTGGCACCAGGACTCTGCTTCATGCTTTTTAAGGAAGACTAGGTCAGAACAATTAGAAACGAACAGAAACAAATGAATACATTGCTGAAGAATAGGAAGGGTAGATTTAAAATCAAGGACACTGACCAAAGATACTATGACACAAGCTGTTTCCATAAATTATTTTATTTCTGAATTTATAAAGGCAAGGATTTAAGCTAATTAGCCATTTTAACAGACACATGGGATATACCTGGAGGGAGAGACAGGCTGGCATGTTGCTGAATGAGTGTATAACTTTCTGTGGCTGCTATTAATTCATTTGGGAATGATGGAGCCAGCAAGTAGAATAAGGTCTATGCAGTGCGGGGGAAATGTTAGAAGAATTTTGATGGATTAGACCAAAGATCAGTCTAGTCTGCCGTCTTGTTTTACCAATCAGATGTCTCTGGAATGTCAATAAGAAGCAGAGTGGAATAGCAAACACTTCAGTAGCAAGACATCAGAAACATTCAGTATAGACATTCTGTTTAACAAAAACAGGCCTCTGTTAATCACTAAAATAAGGTTACATCTTGTGGACACAATTTCACAATTCTACCAAAAGCAGCAAAGAGAGGGAGGGAGGGAGAGGGGGGAGGGGGAAAGAAGAAGAAGAAGAAGAAGAAGAAGAAGAGGAGGAGGAGGAGGAGGAGGAGGAGGAGGAGATTCAAATCAAGTATTGAAAATTCTTCTGCTTCCACAGCAGCCTTTCTGGGGATGATGGAAATTGTTGTTTCATCACATCTGGAAGATTGCCATTTAGTAAGGCAACATTTGAGCATGTATGACAGATTTGAGTAAGGAATGAATAGCCTCGGGGGGTGGGTTATTCAGGCACATCTTCCCTTGATATCTATGTCATAATGCAATATGTTTCTTGTTCTACCTGTCAATATGTGTACAGGCAGAATGAAAATAGGGATAGCAAAGATTTCTTCTGCTTCACCTTTTAATTCAGCTTAGATAATTTTGCACTTGTGTTAGACAAGATGAGTAAGAGTTAGCATACAGCGTTAGGGTTTTTCGAGCATTTTTGGACTGCAAACATTTCTAAACTGAAAAGCACATTGAAGCTCAATGACTACCCAACATTTGCAGTTCTTTGATCATTGCATTGTAAGTGCCCGATCAAAATTTGTATAGAAAAATGGCCACTTATGGAAAGATAACCCCAAAATAATGTATTGGTGAAAAATAATACAATTAATGCAGAATTATTTGTAGAGATAGAATATATGGCAAAATTGTGTACAAAAATACAACAGTACAGTATGCATTCGGCTTGTTCCGTAAATTTTGATTAGTGGTATGGAGGATTAATTTCAAGTTACTTCCAGGATTGAGATCAAATTCTAGAACACATAGTATTGCAGGCTAATTCACTGCCCACTTCCTGGAGTTCCTGGAGTGTGTGCATGTGTGTGTGTGTGTATGTATGTATATATTTATATAGAGTGAAAATCTGAAACACTCTT